CACAAGGGCTCTACCTAATCACAGAACAACACAAACACAGAATAAACGCATACACTCACACCAAACATCCATGCCTTGTGTGAGATTCGAACCCACGTTCCTGGCTTCCGAGGGAGCGAAGACAGTACATTTCCACTCATAGTGCCATTGAAAATAAACCTTTTTTTTTTTTCAAGAATAAGATATTTCCATATTGGACTACTGCAAAAATATTTAAAATTTTGCTGGGACTAATTGCGACCACTTCAAATTCTAGCTCACTTTGCACAGGCCTGTCATTTTCCACTGTAGTTAAGCAAGTTTTCCTCTTTCTTGATTACTCTTCATTTGTATGCTCAGAATTGTATATTCCCCTTTGAGTACGTTTCCAGTATTAATTGGAAATAAAGCGATCCATATTTCAAATTTTACGATATGTTTATTGAACAGAGCCTCTCTTCTTGTCATAAAGTCCCTAATTAACCTATAAAACTCGTGTTACACTTTCCAAGTTTAGTGGCGTTCGACTTGAACCGACACACAATGCTTTTATTCATTTTCCAGTCCAGTTCACTGGTAAGACAGAGACAGCGAAACCAGAGGAAGTTACGTAAATACCGTAGAGACTTTACCACAGGTTTCTGAGTTATGGTCCTGTTCATAGGACTAATTACAACCAAGAATGTGTTCAAAATTCATAAATCGTCACTATTTGGCATACCCACCATATATTCAGTTTATCCATATAGCGTTTTGTATACTGACAGTATAACACTGATTGTAAATCGTAATTCTAAAGTACTAAAAAATTATTAATTCCAGTAATCTCAGAAAATTCTGGAAGGATTAGAAAGATGAAAAAAAAATACATGAGATTGGTGTAATGCAAACTAAAACGGACATGACAGGAAAATTAGCAAATCGTGGAACTGAATGACAAAATCGATCCGGTTTGTTTCTTCCAATATGGCCGCAACTGTGGAAAATTTTGAACGGTAATGTCATATGTTACATCAATCTAAAAACTCGGCGATTTTCACATAGTTTCACAGCTTTAAATGGAAGAAATATGAATTGTTCTCCCAGTTTAGTGTTTCTTCTTCTGTTGCTCTCACTTGGAGCATAGGGCAGCAGTGAAAAGTTCGTTTCAGTTAATTTTCTTAATGTTAAACAGGCGGTAGGACTCCTTGGACGGGGGATAAGCCCTTCGCAAGGCCGCTACCTAACACAAACAGTCATACATTGCTTGAGTGTGATTCGAACACACGATCCCAGGGTTCGAGCGAGCGAAGACATTTCATGCCTTGGACCTTGCAGCTTGTGCGATCGGCATAGCATCTATAGCTTTAAGGAATTTAAAAATAAGCTTTTGTCGTGGTGATTATTTGCTGGCCAAGAAGCAGCTAGTCCAATTGCAGAGGTACTATGCATATTTGTAGCTTCTGGACAATTTTTGAAGTTATATTCCCGCCAACCNCCCTCTGTGTACTCCATAACTTAATCTCAAATTTACATTTTGTTGTCAAATAAGTATAAATGCATTTAAAGGAATTAGAATAAACCACCCACCTCCACCAATTCCCCCCTCCATCCACACACCCACGTACAGGGTGCATATGGTATGCGACAGTCTTTAAGTCATGGCGTTAAAATTCACCCTGAACATCTGAAAAAGAAAAAAAAAATGTAAAAATATAACTCCTTGGAGAAGAGCCCTTCTTGAGAAGCCACAAGTTTTACAGATACTCAAGAATTTTCCAACGTTCTATGGCACCCTAAGGATCACAATGGTGTTCACAAGAACCCTGCACTGGGATCTATCCTGAGCCAGATCATTGCAATCCATACCACCCAATTCTATCCCTCTAAGATCCTTTTTAATGTCATCCACCCACCTACGCCTTAGTCTTCCTAGTGGTTCTTTCCTTCTCTCTTTCCTACCAAAATTCTATAAATAATCCTCTTCTCACTATTCGTGCTACATGTCATGCCCAGCTCATCCTCCTTGACTTGATCATTCTAATTATACTTGGAGAAGAGTACAAGTTATGACGCTCCTCATTATGCAGTTTTCTCCAACCTCCTGTCACTTAACCTCTCTTCGGTCCAAATATTCTCCTCAAACACCCTGTCTATGTTCCTCCCTTAATGTCTGATTCCATTTTCCTTAGTCTGAGGCCCTTTGTGATATTTCATGACAAGCTAATTTTTTACGGTGAGTTGTTATCCCCACGTCCAACCCCCAAGCTGGATGAACATCCCTTGCTGGTTATCTGCGAATTGTATCTAGGACTACTAAGCACTGATGGTAAAAATGCCCGAGTGTACACTCAGTTTATGTACTCGGCACCTGTACAAATGCATCTATTTCCTCTTTCCTGATATTGAAATCACTGGTATCACTTGTTGAAATGAAATATAAAGGACACGAAACAAATTGGTTCTAAAAATGTAAAAAAAAATCTTGTTTAAACAGCACTTGTAAATAGACTAATTGTAATAATTTATAAATTGTATTTTAATGTATGTATGTATGTATCGATATTGACCAATCACATTGTGATAGTAGTTTCCACCTGCAGTGATGATGATAATGGTCTCTAAGATCGAAATATGTCAAGGATGTAAGATTTGAGGCTTTCACGGCGGTGACTATGAAGAAAGCAGTCTTCTGGGATTTGGCACCGTGTATATGTGGTGTTAACCGACGTTTCGGAGGAACGTATCGCCTCCATCTTCAGGGTAGAAGAAAAAGTATAAGAAATCTGCAAGCGACAAGACCGTGAGAACGGNACGTAGATCTACATCCACACCCAGACCAGTGCCAGTTTTAGGGCTCAGTAAAACAAGAGGACCATAAACAAACATTAAACAAACGTTAATAATCACGTGAGGCAGAAAGATTTATTGCCGGTCTCGGTTGTAGTGGCCGCAGCTGGAAGTAGTGAAATGTTTGAAAGTTTCCAGCAGTTTACTTCACGCTTAGGTAGACAAAAATGATCCCTGTAACAGGCAGTTGAGGCCCATAGGGTTGTGAGACGTCGAGGCCCTCACATTTTCTATACAATCGGCTCACAGATGGCTGTATCCTTCTATCCTGAATATCCAAAAGGCATCAGTAATAATAATTCTGACGGCTTCATCTCAAGTTTATACTCCTACCTAACGCTGTAAAACTGGTTGCTCTCCTCCTAGGAAAAAGTGCAGGCGGCGCCAATGTTGAAGGATGAAGTAGACTGGTGAGGGAATAGTAATCCAGGTCAGAGAAATTAATAAGTATTAACTTTTCATCAATACATTATGCAACATATTTCGCTTGTCTACAGGAGTGGTTTACTTACTTACTCATGGAGCTCAGACCTTCTTGAGGAGCCGCCAATTGAACAGCTACTCAAGACTTTCCAAGCATTTTATGGAACCCGAAGGTTCATTACCGGGTTCACAAGGGCTCTCCACTGGTCCCTATCCTGAGCCAGGTCAATCCAATCCATATCATCCCATCCTATCTCTCTAAGATCCATTTTAATATTGTCCACTTACCTAATCCTTGGTCTTCCCAGTGGTCTCTTTCCTTCCGGCATTCCCACCAATATCCTATATGCATTCCTCGTCTCCCCCATTCGTGCTACATGTCCTGCCCACATAATCCTCCTTGACTTTAGGCTTTGAAATCTCTGTAAGCCGATTGATTTTTACATTCATTTTAATAGTTACGACTGCACCCTCCAACAGTGTTCCTTGCGTATAATGTGCGAAATCCATACGCCACGCAACACTTCCAGTGGATTAACTTTTCAGTATTTATTGACATTTTGTCAAGTACAGAATTTAGAACTTAGAACAATAAGATGACCCTGAAAATTTCCGAAGAGTATGAAAACAAGCTTGGCCGGTCACGGTAGCCGAGCAGTCTAAGGCATGTACTGTCTTCACTCGCTCGGAATCCGGGATCGTGGGTTCGAATCCCACACAAGGCATGGATGATTTATATGTGTATATGTTTATTCTGTGTTTGTGTTGTACTGTGTTTAGGTAGAGGCCTTGCGACGAGCTGATCATTCGACCGAAGGAGTCCTGCCGTTTGTAAAATGATCATGAAATTGAAAATCAGAGGTCAGGGCCCAAGGGGATTGTAGAGTCAGCGAAGAAAAAAGGAAAACAAGCTGTTTTCACTCGAGTTATTATACAGACATTTGCACGAGAAACTTATGAAAACCCTCAGCAAAAACAGTTGGTTTCAAGGTCCAGATTTCCACTGTCTATCTCCCTAATAAGAAGCATTATGATAATGAGTACGTCCACATATCGGTTACTCACAGCGACATTAAATATCTCATATATTTTTTTCCTTGGCACTACAGCCCCAGTGGGCCTAGGCCTACCTCCATGAACTTCTCCGTTCACTTTGGTTTTTCTAGATCTTACACATTCGGTAGGACTCCTTGGGCTGGTGATCAGCTCGTCGCAAGGCCTCTACCTGTACACAAACACAGAAAAACGCACACACACAAACTAAACATCCATGCCCTGAGTGGGATTCGAACCCACGATCCCGGTTTCCAAGCGAGCGAAGACAGTACACGCCCTAGACCGCTCGGCTACCGTGACTGGCAGTGTATAAGAATAATATATAAGAATTCAGTTCGTACCTCACAGGAAACAGATCCGAACCCACGGTCCCGGTTTCCAAGCGAGCGAAGACAGTACATGCCAAATATCTCATTTACTCTTGAAAATTATCCCCGAAAGTACGGAATATGGAGTAACTTCCATTAATTCTACTTATAGCAATACATATCACATTCGATCAATGGTGCCAACTTTCTACATTTGAGGAAGTGTATAAATCGATTGTACATATGGTTTTCATTTATTATTAAATTTCCCGTAATTCGGAATTATATGACACAGATTCAGCTCTGTACCCATCATCTTCAGCTACGAGTATATTATGCATGCAATTAAAGATGTTTATTTCTTTAGAAAACACGAGAATATTCCAAATAAGTTTCTTGTTACAGGAGGTGATCCCAACCGTAGCAGTTCTTCTTCTTCTACACAGCTCATCACGTGAGTGTCACCAGAAACAAGTAGTTTGGTTGGTAGTTAGTATATTGTAGGGACGAGGTCTGGACGTCGTAGCTTTCAAGGCTCCTTTTATTATGGGATATATATATATATATTTGTCGCCATAAACACGCCACCATAAGTGAATTTAGAATGATATGTGAGTTTTTATTGCACCACAATATTTTGCACACCAATATGTAGTATTTTACAGTTTCCTAAAAGAATTCCTCAATGACAGACAGCTGCACATTTTTAAAGGATCTATCAGGACACAGAAATTTCAAGAAGATACACAGAATGAGTCTAGCACATCTCCCACCTTTTAAATTCGCATAGTAGCCACGTTGATTCTGTAGAAATCAGGGGTTTAAAAGTACCCTGATTGGAAAGCCTTCAATGGTGTAATATTTGTCCCCACTTTTCACGAGAAACAGTCAATGAATGTTGACGAAATTGACGTCTCTGATTGAATGCAGAGAGAGGGGAGACACATACTCACACAGCTCCTAAATGTGATTCTGAAAACAAAGGTAAAAGGTAAATATATCCTTGTAACAGGCCGTGGAGACCCATAGGATTGTGAGACGTCGAGGCTCCCACATTTTCTAGACAATCGGCTCACAGATGACGGTGAAGTTGTCAGCCTTAGGCACCAGCCGCTCTTTACTCCCCAGGAAAATTATTTAATTAATTCCTGGTACTCATTTCTGTTAGCGACTGAGTCGACCCCAAGTCCATAGTTAATTGGCCATGAAAACAATTGAAAAATCAAATGACTTCATCGGAATTCGAACCCGTGATCTTCCGGTTTGTAGCATAGTGCCTCAATCAACTACGCTACCGCGTGCACAGGGATTCCGGAAAGGAAACTTGAATTAATAAAAATGACGATGAAAGAAGAAGAAAATAAAAGTTCTGTTTTCCCAAACAACAACAGTACTGGAAATTACGTGCCAAATGGTGGGATTGCATTGTTAATACCTGTAATTGCTTCAGTAATTTGCGTTAGGTAAAGCATTGACGTATACTCAAAACAGTGCTCTAAAATTTATTCAATCCGCCTGATTGATCAGAGGCACCATGAATTTCAGGAAGTGGGTGGATCTTATACATATTTCGTGAGATCAGCCATGGACTTCGAACTACCTTTAATCCATAAGAAAGAGACAGGCGAGAAAGGAAGAGATACGAGGGTTTCTCACAGATAAAGGACACTAAACCGTTGAACTGTCCATATCATGGCTCAGCTGCTTAACTTTTCCAAAACCGAAATGACTCAGTCGGTAAAGTGGCTTGCTGCTTATACCGATTCCTGTCAGAAGCACGGATGTTTGTCTTCACCACTAGAATGTGGTGAACTTTATTTCCACGTAACAAATATATTCCTTTCAAGGTCTGTTCAGTCTGTGTGAATAACGAAACTCAGATGACTTAGTGACAGAGGCGCAGCATTAAGCAAACCCTGCGGTGTACATTTAAATATATTATTTTCCCTTTCGAAACCACTTGTGCGTTAGAGCGAGTAATCCACCCTAAGGTCAGTGAACTCTGAAAAATTGCGTGACATGTTCAAAGAGAAACAATCTATACATTAATGGGAAACACGTGTTTCAACTTTCGCAATATTGATTTTAATAATGTACGATTTATGTGTTCAGCTTATAAAATTTTTGCGAAAGGCAGGTGTGCGCTGTGAAGAAGGTAAAGGGCAAGCCACCAGCTGTGCGCCGTGATGGAGCACCGTTGGGGTGTTAGGGGGGGGGGAAGATGTTTACTCTCCAATTAGGCCGCGCCATAGCTCAAGCGTTAGTCACTGGCTTCCCACCGCGGCGGCCCGGGTTCTATCACAGTTCTGGTCAAGTGGGATTTGTGGTGGACAAAGTAGCCCTGGGGCAGGTTTTCTCCGAGTACTTCGGTTTCCCCTGCCAATCTTCATTCCACCAATTGCTCCACAATCACCCTCACCTATCATCTGGGGCTGGTACGTTACAATAAGCCCGAAGTGGCCGCAGTGCAAGGGACTTAGTCCCACCCCACTAGTAATAAAAAAATAATACTCTCCAATTAACAGTGGACACGCGGTATAAACACTTACAGCTATAAATCATCCAGCACAGCACTGTTTGGATCGGAGGGGACACGAAACTTGACTTCATTTTCCACTATATTTTCTCATTTATTCAATTATTTTTCCTTTTTATTTATGTTACTGCATAATGAAGAGCTTCATAACTTGTACTTTTCTCCAAGTATAATTAGAATGATCAAGTCAAGGAGGATGTGATGGGTAGGGCATGTGGCACGAATGGGGGAGAAGAGTAATGCATATAGGATATTGGTGGGAAAGCCAAAAGGAAAGAGACCACTGGGAAGACCAAGGCGTAGGTGGGTGGACAATATTAAAATGGATCTTAGAGAGATCGAATGGGATGGTATGGATTTGATTGATCTGGCTCAGGATAGGGACTAGTGTAAGTCTCTAGTGAACACGGTAATGAACCTTCGGGTTCCATAAAATCCTGAGAAATTCTTGAGTAGTTGCACAACTGGCTTCTCCTCAAGAAGGGCTCAGCTTCATAAGTAAGTAAGTATTTATTTAAGTTACTTTTTCATTTTCCCAGTCTCTGTCTTGATTCTTTCCTTGCTTTTCTTTATTTTCTTTGTTGGTTAATTTCCTGCTCTTTGTTCCCTTGTATTCAGTTTTATTCTTTTCCTCTATTTCCTCTTTCATTTAACTTTTATTTCTTCTCAATATTTCCCCTCAATTGCTCTTTCTTCCTTTATTTGTTTAATTCTTTGTTCTTTTTCTTAATTGCTGTCTCAGGTAATTTCACTGTCATCATGTCATCATTATTTCAAGATATGTAACAAGGCTTGATTCAGATTATGTAAACCATAGCCCATTTTATAAAGTTTAAAGTGCGTCTTCTAGATCTTGGTTTAATTAATTCTATAGAAGCTTAAATATTTTGACATATATCAAGTTATTTCACAGGTTATACAAGAGTTCAGTAAAACTTTCTTTGATTTAAGGAGCCATTTTAGCTCTCTGAATGTTTGCAAGGACATGTCGGCGCCAGTGAATTATATAAATTCTGTACAGGTGGCAATTTTTAATTATCAAGGCACCTATTGCCAATATAAATTATAATTTCAACAGTACAACGTTCCTTCCGCCATTCTGAAATCTGGACGATTGTTTTAATGCTTGTAAAGAAAAATGGCGCAGATGTACTAAACGTATGCTCAATGAAAAATATGATTATTACAAGAGCGTGAAATTAGTGATTTCTATAAAATATAAAAGATCTACAAAAATTCTGGTGAAAGTGAAAAGTACATTAAATACATTATATTCTCTAATGATATTTTAAATTCTCCAGGAATTATTAGTTAAACTAAAAAAATGTTAATTATGTAAATATAATATTTAATATCTTCCTAATGAAAGAACACAATTTGGAATATGGGAAGTCACAAATAATTCTAATTCTCATTCCACCAACTGCTCCTCATACATTAATCATCCTATCATCAACACTGTGGAGCCGGGATAGCTCAGTCGGTACAGTGACTGGCTACGGGCTGGACGACCGAGGAGTCGGAGTTCGAGTCCCGGTAGGGTCAAGAATTTTCTTTTCTCCTCGTTGTCCAGACCACCCAATCTCCTATCCAATAGGTACGGTGGTTTGTTCACCGAGGTAAAGCGACCGGGGCGTGAATCTGACCACTCACCTCCAGTTAATACCTAGGTCAAGGAAAAGTGGGTCTATACATCCACTCCCTCATACGCCATCATGGTGTAGTGCTTAATTACTTTAGCACAGGGACAACTTTATCTTTCACCTTTATCATCAATGCTATATAATCTTGATACTGACAACACTGTTAAATAAATGTAAACACAAATCGGATACTGATTGAAACACTAAGGATCAATAAAAAAATTATGATTTATCCAAAGAGAAAATTTTTGAAAATAATTTAGGTGGGGAAAATCTCACTTGGAAAATGTATAGACAAAAGTAAAGCACACTGTGTAAAGGGAATTAGTGAATAAAACGGTTTTCAAGCCATACCAATATTATTTACTGACTTACTTAATCCATTCCTCTTATACCTTATGGTGTCGAGGTTGTTTTTTCCTTTTGATCATTTTACAGACGGTAAAACTCCTTGGACGGGTGATCAGCTCGTCGCAAGGCCTCTCCCTAACCACAGGACAACAAAAACACAGAATAAACATATACACATACAGGTACCAAACATCCATGCCTTGTGTGGGATTGAAACCCACGATCCCGGTCTCCAAGCGAGCGAAGACAGTGCATGCCTTAGACCACTCAGCTACCGTGACCGGCAGTGTATAAGAATAATATATAAGAATTCAGTTCGTACCTCACAGGAAACAGATCCGAACCCACGATCCCGGTTTCCAAGCGAGCGAAGACAGTGCATGCCTCAGACCGCTCAGCTACCCTGACCGGCTACCAGTTTTATTACAATTTCTTAAATAAATTACTACTGATTCTTACTACTTCCTCCCGAATTGTCATTCACAATAATTTTCCCTTGACACTGCATAACCTTTTCAGTTCTGAAGCTTCGTTAGAGAAGATAAGCAACCACGGTGTGTTATTGTCCGCTTGTGAAGACATGGTTCGTCCATGTTCTCTCATTACCAGCTCACTGCACATATGCGTGTTGGAAGATTCGTGATAACAAGAACATATTCTCTGTCAAAAATTCTTCGGTAATTGGGTCAACACTATTCTATTTCCAAGTTTACACAACAAACACAAGAACTGATCTAGATTATAGACTTCAATTTGGGTCACGCCTCTTGTATTTTCATTACTTGGTTCATATTTTATACAGCCCTACACGGAGAAACTTAGTTTATCCGATGAAGGTCCTGACTTCTATTTTGTCTCGATAGGGATACCTTCTATATTGAATGAGGGTTTTCTTCAGTCCGTCCAGGCGAATACCGCGATAAT